TCTAAGATTTATTTTGCTTTGCTTTCCAATTGCCTAAAAAACATAAATCAGCTTTAGCCAATATAATGGAGACCTTTCTGTAATTGTAGAAAAATAAAATCTTACAGGATATAAATAGTAAGAAAGAAATATTGGCCTTTGAAAAAGACCCTATATCTTTTTTAGTGTTTCTTACTCAGAGAGGTCAGTGATAGAGGTAAAAAAAAGCCAAAAGCCATATATTAGCTCAACATAACTGTGTACCTCTTTTCACAATTTTTAAGAAATCAATAACCTCTGACTTTAAAAAGTTAAAATTATTTTATATACTCTTCTAAAGTCAGATACACACACACACACACACACACACACACACACACACACACACCTTTTAAAGTGTATAGTTTGATGAGTTTTGATAAATGTACCCATCTGTGTAATTACCATTACAGTCAATATGCAGAATATTTTCATCACCCTCCAAAATCCCTTATACTCCTTCTCCCCTCCTCCCAACCCCAGTCCTTGCAGTCATTGATTGGTTCTGTCCCAATAGTATTGCCTTTTTCAGACTGTCATATAAATGGAATCGCACAGCATGTAACATATTCTGCATGCTTCTTTTACTGGGTGTAGCCCTAGTTTGCTCTTTTCACTGCCGAGTGGCATTTTATTTTATTTTTTATTTTTTCTAAGTGGCATTTTATCATGTGGATGGAGCACAGTGTCTTTTTCCATTTCCCTGTGGGTGGACATTTGGATTGTTTCCAGTTTTCAGTAATTATGAGAGAAGCTGTTATAAACATTCATGTTTAAGTCTTTGTGTGAACATATATTTTCATGTTTCCTAGGTAAATACCAGAAAGTAGGGGAGCTTGGTTAATAAGCATTTATTTAAAGTTTACAGTGGGGCTTGACTTACGAGTTTAATTCGTTCCGAGACTGAGCTCGTTAAGGAGCTCGTTAACTCAAATTACTCTATCAACTCAATGCAAAAAATGGGTGGAGAGACAGCTGGTATCTCAAAAAACTCGTTAGTCGGGACACTCGTAAGTCAAGGCCCCACTGTATAAGAAATTGCCATACTGTTTCCCTAATTGGCTGCACCTGACGAAGGCTTTTAAGATGCTAAGACTATACCAAAGTGTATGCTGATGAAGGAACCTGATTCTCACTGAGCACAGATTTATTTTTATTTTATATCCAGTTTTAACAGGTTTAGTTAGCATTTTTTTAAAGTCCATGGTGAATTAGAAACAGTAAGCTAGAGGCTGTACAGATAGGTTGTTAGACAAAAATGATATTCACTAATATGACTATAATTACTGATTTTTTAAAAAGGCAGGAACCTACAGGGCTGAATTTTCCCATTTGATAAGTTCTATTTGACAAGTCCCAAACATGTCCATATATTAGAATCACCAGGGAATATCCAAGTGTCAGAGCCCAGGCTACACCCTTGCATGAATAAATCAGGAGTCTGGGGTAGAGCGAAGACAGCAGTATTTTTTTAAAGCTCCTTGGATGCTGTCAGTTTGGAACCACATCCTGGAAGCCCTGTAATGGCCTGCATGGCTCTGGCAAGCCTCTGCCTTTGTGGCTTCAATGTCAGTGTCGTCCTCTCTATAGAAAGACATTGTAGGTACGTTAATTCCAAGATGATATTAACATGGTTCTAGGTATCATTAGACTGATAACAGTCATGCTTAGGAGACACCACTGCCCAAGGAATGGCTCTACTCTGAATGGTTTCAAGGACTTCTTGGAAAGAATTTTGTACACATGATGAAATTTTTGTTCTGTAAATTAAGACATTTATATTTGTTTTCTCTTAAATGATATTGCTGTATATATTTTTAGAATATTTTTTATTGATTTCAGAGAGGAAGGGAGAGACCGAGAGAGATAGAAACATCAATGATGAGAGATAATCATTGATCGGCTGCCTTCTGCATGCCTCCTACTGGGGACTGAGCCTGCAACCTGGGCATGTGCACTTGACCAGAATCAAACCTGGGACCCTTCAGTCTGCAGGCTGATGCTCTATTCACTGAGCCAAACCAGCCAGGGCAAAACATTGCTTTGTTGTTCCACTTCTTTATGCATTTATTGATTGCTTCTTGTATGTGCACTGACTGGGTATCGAACCCACAGCCTTAGTGTATTAAGACAATGCTCTAATCACCTGAGCTACCCAGCCAGGGCCATATTGCTGTATGTTTTTAAAAACAGTTCGAGCATATGGAACAGTTTTTGATTACTGAGGGTGACTTATTTTGATAAGCCTGATGTAAAAAAAAAAAAAAAAAAAGCTTTAAGAACTTCTCAAAAATAATTTTTGAATAGCAATTGTGAAACTTATCAGCTATTTTTAGAGCTGGTCTAAGGAGCTAAGGAATCTAGGCTATATTTTCAAAATGTTGCTCCATTTGCCAAATGTATAAGAAGTTTGGACTCTTAGAGGGTGTTCAAAGCTGAGCAGATTCTGTACAGGTGACAGTGTTTTGAACACGCTTCCTTGGTACATCTATACACATCAGTTCTATTGCTACTGACTGGATTGTGAGAAAATTTGATATTGAAGATACTTAGGTGTCATTTCGTGAAAGACTTAATTTCCTGTATTTTAATACGCAAATAAACAGGAAAAAGAAAAGGGTGCCTATGAGAACCCAATACCAGATAACCCACTACTCAGAAAATTGGAATTTAAAAATGATTTTAAATTTCCAAATAAGTTTAAGAAAGCATACAGCCTTTTTACCAATAGAGTCTGCTGCTTTCCTAATAAATTTGTATAGACAGTACTGTCCAATAGGGCTCTCTATGATGAAAGAGATGCTCTCTATCTGTGCTGTCCAGTGTGCAGCCACTGACTACATGTGTCTCCTGAGCACTTGAAATGTGGCTAATACAACTGCAGAACTGAAGTTTCAATTTAATTTATTATAAATAATTAATATTTAAATTAAAATAGCCATAGTGGCAAATAGCAACCATATTGAACAGTGCAGGTCTATAGGTGTTAAGCCACTGAATATGGTCTTTTTTCTTTTAACTATCCTAATCAGGTTTCCCCCATTTTCATAAGTAGATTTCAACCAAAATTCTTTTGGTCCTATAAAACAAGGTTTAAAATACTGTTTACACATTACTGGTTTAAATCAATAAGAGATCAGAGTTCTGTGGTTGTCAGTTGGTTAAAGGGACATTACAAAGTTCAGGAGGTCCTTCTGAAAATACCTTTTGTATTTCAATATAATGCCCATGGGCAGGGATGGGGCCTTGAAGATCATCTCACAGGAAACCGAAGGTAAAATTGCTATAGTTAGTGGCAGAATTGGTATAGCATCGATTTAAAAAAATATTTTTATTGATTTCAGAGAGGAAGGTAGAGGAAGAGAGAAATAGAAACATCAATGATGAGAGAGAACCATTGATTGCCTACTTCCCCCATCCCCCCTACTGGGGATCAAACTCACAACCCAGGCATGTGCCCTGACCAGGAATCGAACCATGACTTCCTGGTTCATAGGTTGATGCTCAACCACTGAGCCACCCACATGGGGCAGCATCGATTTTTTAACTAACAAAATATAACCTAGAATTAAGCATGTTTTGCTTATTTGTCTCAAACTTAAAAATTTGAAAAAAGCTTTACATTTTACATAATGTTTTCCTCAATGTTTTGCTACTTGTAAGCAAAATGTAATTGTGAATGTTAGAGACTGAGGGCTTCCAACATGCAAAAGGGCGGCTGGTCCCAGCCTCCTTTCCAGGCATCACTGTCCTACTTCTTCCATGGCAAGGCAGATGGGCTGTTAGGGACCAAGAGCTCGTTCTATTAAGTACTCTTAGGAGGTAAAATAAAGCTTCATGCCTTCCTAACTAGGACATATATTTTAAACACTTTCTCCAGAGTTGAATTTTTGCTGAAAATATGCAGTGTAGCTTCCTAGGCTTAACCACACCAAAAAAAAAAAAAAAAAAAAAAAAAAGCCCTAAAGATTTCCAGCAACAGAACTCTGTGGAATGTTGCTATTTTTATCGCCAAGATTAAAGCAGTCCTAAATAGTTTCCTAACACCACCATGGAGTGCCCTTCAGCAAGCATTTCCTACTTGCCAATCCAGCAAATAATAGAGTCCAGGGAAGTTTGTCAACCTTCCCACCACCCATCCTAGCTACCTTCTACTTTGATTAGGTGCAATCACACATAATCAGAAGGGGGAAACTACTCTTTTCATTCGCCCTAGAGGGATTAGGGAGTGTCGCCCCTGTTATTTGGAAAGCTGAGGGCTTGTTCTTTGAGCTGAGTTTTTATCAGGAAAATAAATATTGCAAGCTGGGTAAATTCAGGAGTTTTATTTGTATGAAACCCATTTGACAGGAGTTGGGCCAACAAAGGTTCTGAGTGTGATGCCCTGTTACTCTAGGGACTCCTGCCTACCAGGGCCTTAGCCAGCATGGGCATTAAAGAGAGCCTCTATCTCCAACCTCATAGTGCCATTTTCCCTATTTCTTAATGGAGTAAGGGAGACTTTGTAAGAATGAGACTGAGGCATGTGGCTTTTCAGAAGGTGAACAGATCAAATTTTAAGGTTTATGTGCTTCTGGAAGTCAATGCTGGGGCATCTCTAATGACAATTCTCCCATCTTGCGGCAGTGAGGGCGCACAGCATTCTCCTGGTTCTTCCAAAGCCCAGAGCTGTGCTGCATGGAAAGCCATCACCCACTCGGAGGGCAGTCCCTGTCACAAAGGACTGCAGATCTTTCACATGGTTTAACATCAGTTTATACCTGGATATCCTGGTAACTCTGACACCATTTGCACTTAAACTCCTCTGAGTATATACGTGTTCTTAAGCTGTCTACTAGAAGGAATAGGTAAGACTGGAATTTCTTTCTTCTTCTGTTTCTGTCACTGGACAGGGATTTGTGTGGCTTCTTGTGCTACCTCTACTGCTGATGTGTTACAGAAAACTCCTAGCAGATACAGTGCTACAGGTGGAAGGTATTTACCTGGGCACAGAGCTTCTGTGATGGCTTCAGTGACTTACTCAGATAAAGGCCCAGCCATTTTACAGCAATTTATGATATACCAGATCTGGAAAAAAAATTAGTGAGATTCACTAAATATCGTCAGATTTATTTTGTAATTTACAGAGCAAGCATTAACACTACATTTTATGAGTGGTTTTGGAGGGAATGAAGTCATCTGGTCCCCACTGAGGACATCTTTTTATACAGAATCAGGCTGCACTGAATGGCTACCCTGTCGTGGGAATCTCATCCTCTGCTTCTGCTCCACATCCGCCCCAGCCCTAGTAGACACACACTAGAGAATAAGAAGTAGGCTATTTTAATGTTAAATAGTGCAGTTTTATTCTAAGACATTTCTGTAGACATAACTACTAAATATAAGAAATATACCACCAAATATAAGTGTGGTTATCACTGGATGGTGGCACTTAAATCGGTTCAATGTTTTATACAAATAATGCACATGCATTATTGAAATGTAAGAAAATAGATTAAAATAAAAATAAGAAATGAATGATCACAATTCCACAAAACAAAAATAGCTATTTAAAAAAATATAATAGATTAGATTTTTACTTGTGAATCTAGTTAAACTTTGATAAATACTTATTTTTAATACAAAGCTTATAGTGTTATTGAACCATAACTTAAACAATATTTTAAAAGATCTTTGTTTTTGTAGTTCATAGAATATATGCATGTGAGATAAATGTAAAGTTACAGATGAGTATACTTTAAAAGTACATGTCTCCTAGCCCTCTCCAATTGTCTCTCTGGATCCACTTCCCAGAGCTACTTCCTACTAATAGTTTCTTATGTATCCTTTTAGGACTTTTAGAAAATATATTTACATGCATATAAATGTGTATATCCACATTTTTTTTTAAACTCTACACATCATATTAACATTTTACTATCCTACTCTTTGCTTTATTATTTTTAACTTAACAATATGGCTAGAAGAACTTTCAACATCAGTGTATGTAAATCTGCCTCATTCGGGTTTTTTATTTTATTCTTCACCTGAGGATATTTTTTTCCATTGATCTTTAGAGAGAGAGTGGAAGTGAGGGAGAAGGGATGGGGGAGAGCGAGAGAAACACTGATGTGAGAGAGATACATCAAATGGTTGCCTCCCACACTCACCCTGACCAAGGCCAGGGATCGAACCTGCAACTGAGGTACATGCGCTTGACAGGGAATTGAACCTGTGACCCTTCAGTCCTTGGACTGATGCTCTAACCACTAAGCAAACAAGCCAGGGCTGCCTCCTTCATTTTGAGGACTGTACTGTATTATATTCATTGCACTGATAACATAACTTATTTATTAACCAATCCACTATAAATGGACTTAAGGTTTGTTTGATTTTTTTCTTTTCAGTTTCCCTTTTTGGCTGCTTAAAAAATTGCCTCAATAATGATATTTATACATATGCATTTTTATATTTATTTGAATATATCAGTAACATAAGTTTAAAACATAATTATTGAAGAAAATTGTTTGTATTCTCTAAGTTTTAAAAGATATTTACAAAATGTCTTCTATAAAAATTATACCAATTAATGATACCAAAAATCTGGTCTTTAACAAATCTTAAATTTTTTTCTCTGTTGGATAAGTAAAAAGTATGTATTTTCTTTGATTTTCATTTCTTTAGTTACGAAAGAGGCTGTGATTCTTTTTGCTTTCTTGGTTTAGATAGTTATTCTTCTACAAGTTTGCCAGTCATGGCTTTTGCTCATTTTTTTTCAGGTTGGTTATTCATTGTTTCTTATTTTAAAGAGCTTATGTTATATTAAGAAAACTGGCATTTTATATGCCGTGTGTGGCAAATTGCTTTCCCAAGTTCCTGTTTATCTTTTTATTTTGTTTATGGTATTTTTTACTACACAGCCATTAAAATATATCTTTAGGTAGCCAAAAAAGCATTTACCAATGCTTTTCATTATGGACTTTGATATTTTTATGTAAGATATTTTTTAAGCTGAAGAGTTAATAAGAAAGATTGTGATTAGGTTACTTTTTTAAAACCATACACATCAACTTTACTAAAGCGTTGTACAGAAGAATTTTGGCTTTAGAAGGATCTATTTTTATCCCTATTTCTTGTTGGTTTTTTTGATAGCAAAAGAAATTTCCCATAAGATGACTTCTCCTATAAAATATCACTCCGGTGTGAATTCTGTGGAATCTTGTGAAGTTCTAGCGTACGTTAGGGGGGAAAATTAGAGATGGGTCAGATTTGTTATTCTTCAGAGAGTTCGTAGTGGTTGTCTAAGATCTAAAATCTAGAGTGGGTTAGAAAGAAAGTAATAGAAATTCTAAGACAAACAGAAAGTAAGAAATATAAAAGTAATAGAGGTTTATTATTGGAAATTTTGAAAGCACATAAAAATAAAAGGAAAGAAAAAAGTCACCTTTGATCTTAGTAGCTTTGATCTTAATAACCCTCACAAGCTTTTAAGATTTGTTATATATATTTCCTAGTCTTTGTTTTTTGTTCTACAAATATGTAGGCATTTAAAAATTATATAGGCAATTTTACTCACAAATCAGTGCCAATATACCTATATTGTTTTCATTAGAACACCAAAGACCTAAGAAAGACCTTATGGAACCTTGACTAGAATCTACCAAATACATATGCACACTGGATCACATTCAGGATTTGTTTTTATACACTACTTTATCCACTTATGATTACCTTTCTTTGCTATTAAATATTTTAAAATATATTATATATTAAATATATATTTATATAAATATATTATGGCTATACAGTATAATGTTCCATCATATGGCTTAACCTAATGGGAATTTTAAAAAATATAAATAGATTTGTGTTTCTCTCAGAAATATCTTCTGTTAACTTAGTACAGGGGTCCTCAAACTTTTTAAACAGGGGGCCAGTTCACTGTCCCTCAGACCGTTGGAGGGCCGGACTATAGTTTAAAAAAAAACTATGAACAAATTCCTATGAACACTGAACATATCTTATTTTGAAGTAAAAAAACAAAATGGGACCAAATACAATATTTGTATTTGCATGTGGCCTGCAGGCCTTAGTTTGAGGACCCCTGACTTAGTAGATCAGAGGCCAGGACAATTTCAGGAAATCACTACATAGCAATCATATCAGATTCATTTTCATTCCTGATAAGGTGGCAGCAATTAATTGTGTGACAGTTAAGGGCCGAGAGACATCATAGTATAACATCTTTAATGTGAAGTGACATCATTTGATTGGAAAGAGTTAGATTATTAAAGCTGAGGTAATGGAATATTCTTGTTCTAGGGGCAAACCACGTAGATTTAGAAGTTTGTACAACGCAATTGAATTGGATAGAAAGAATAATTTGGGTCTAAATGTGAAGAAAGTATATGTGATGATAAACTTATAAATGTATGAAGTTTATTAGAAGAAATGATAATGATATTTTTCCCATTTATTTAGAAAAAAAACTGGTGTATATTATATTCAGCCACAGTCACAAATATTTGAGCTTAGTGAGATGAGCAGGACTTTAAAGGGTCATAAGAGGATCACTGCATTGTGTCAGCACTAAGAGAACTGCCTGCTATGTGCAGGCTGTCTCCTGGACACTACTTCCCCTGGTTTTGACTTAACCAGTAACTTACAAGTTAGATGATTTACCATTAGTGCTGCCTGTACATCTAAAGTTCCAGATCCAAGCAGCTAGTGAAATTCTTTCTCCCAAGGATATGTCCCTTCATGACTGAGAAAATTGTGTCTGCTCAGTCCTGATGACATATCCCTCCTCTCAACTATGATCACAAGGAACCCAGACTCACCTCAGGCTTTTGAGCAACATCAATGATTACCTGTCAAAACAACAGACATCGGGCCAGATCTACTGACAGCTGTCAGAGAATTGACATGCCTGGGAGAAAGCATTCAGAAGCGGAAGCATTTGTGGAGTCACTGCCTTAAAATAAGTTAGCACTAGCTTGCAGACTGACTGGTTAGTAACTATATTCAACTACAGTTTTGTAAACAATTACTTGTATATAAGTGTTTACATTAAAAACTGAAAGAATGATATGTAATTTGAATTGGAATGAACAGTTTATGTATGTAAGGAATGACATGTTCAATTCAAGAGAGAACTTTTTTTCATACCGTCAAAACACCAAAAGGTAAAAACAGTAAACTTAAGTTATGAGAAAAGATAGAGATAACAAACCTTAAGTTTAAAATGGGCTGCCATAGTTTTAGTATTTATTTCCCAACTAAAGAAGGAATTTCTAGACTCCATTATTGTACTTAAATGTAAGATGACAGACAAATGTTACAACTAAAATGAAATAGATCTTCTTTTTCCCACGATGGAAACAGAACCTGACTTCACATCATAACTTTAAATAAATTCTCAAATAATTAGTTGGCTTAAAAAGCAGGCAGCCAAGTGTAGAATATACAGTGGGGGTGGCACCTAAGAGCACAGCAATCAGAATCCCTGTGTTTAAATATTGAATCTACTAGTTACTGCATTTGGGTGAGCTACTTATTTTCTTATTACTCAGAATGCAAATGTACAAAATGAGGATAAAGCAGTGGCTATTTCATAGAGATGTTGTGAGGATTAAATAAAAAATATTTAAAAAAGACTGAACACTGTGTTTGGCACATTACACATGCTAATGGCTTTCTTTAAAATGTTTATTTAAAAACCAAGAAAATAACCTCTAGGTCAGTGGTTCTCAACCTTCCTAATGCCGCGACCCTTTAATACAGTTTCTCATGTTGTGGTGACCCCCAACCATAAAATTATTTCATTGCTACTTCATAACTGTAATTTTGCTACTGTTATGAATTGTAATGTAAATATCTGATATGCAGAATGTATTTTCATTGTTACAAATTGAACATAATTAAAGCATAGTGATTAATCACAAAAACAATATGTAATTATATATGTGTTTTCCGATGGTCTTAGGTGACCCCTGTAAAAGGGTAGTTCGACCCCAAAGGGGTCGCGACCCACAGGTTGAGAACCGCTGCTCTAGGTGAACAAGTCATAGGTTGTTGTTGTGCTTCTC